TTTTTTCCCCCCCCCCCCCCTGGAAAGTTAATTAATTTTTTTGCCCCCCCCCCCCCTAGAAAGTTTTCTGCGGGCGCCCATGGTTACCGGTACAAGGCTTTCGATACGACAAAAAGAACCACATGAAAACAAATGAAGTACATGATAACGTCTTCTCTCCAAGACTTAAATAATTATTTAATCTATTTTTTGTGATTGTGATCTTTTCAATTTTAAATCTCAATTGAAGACAAGGGTCTGACAACAGCATACTGCTGTTTCTCCTGATGCAGCGGTTCTCAACCTTTCAAATGCCACGACCCTTTCATACAGTTCCTCATGTTGTGGCGACCCCCAACCACAAAATTATTTTCGATGATACTTCATAGCTGTAGAGTATGTGTTTTCAGATGGTCTTAGACGACCCATGTGAAAGGGTCGTGCGACCCCCAAAGGGGTCGCGAACCACAGGTTGAGAACCGCTGTCCTAATGTTTCGCACTTCAGATATATAGCCCAGTTAGTGCAGCAACATAGCACGGTGTCAGGGTGCCCTGACATTGAGATTCAAGACGTAAATTGCACCCATGGCCTGCAAATGAGCGCATCTATCGGTTTCTTCAGGAAAACAGTTGCGAGTTGACTTCATGACTACTCATTTCGTCCTCACCTGCTATTGAACGACACCGCTCACCTTGTATGTAGCCTGACGGCTATTTCTTTCTTCTTTGACGTTTTTTCCAATTCAGCATCCAGATATTCGCAGAGTCTCCTTTGAGTCATTCACTGACTCCAATTTTCTGTTTTGTGATCTTTGAGTGATTCACTGACTCCGCTTTTCTGTTTTGTGATCGTTGAGTGATTCACTGACTCCACTTTTCTGTTTTGTGATCTTTGAGTGATTCACTGACTCCACTTTTCTGTTTTGTGATCTTTGAGTGCTTCACTGACTCCACTTTTCTGTTTTGTGATCTTTGAGTGATTCACTGACTCCACTTTTCTGTTTTGTGATCTTTGAGTGATTCACTGACTCCACTTTTCTGTTTTGTGATCTTTGAGTGATTAACTGACTCCACTTCTCTGTTTTGTGATCTTTGAGTGATTCACTGACTCCAAGTTTCTGTTTTGTGATCTTTGAGTGATTCACTGACTCCACTTTTCTGTTTTGTGATCTTTGAGTGATTTACTGACTCCACTTTTCTGTTTTGTGATCGTTGAGTGATTCACTGACTCCACTTTTCTGTTTTGTGATCTTTGAGTGATTCACTGACTCCACTTTTCTGTTTTGTGATCTTTGAGTGATTCACTGACTCCACTTTTCTGTTTTGTGATCTTTGAGTGATTCACTGACTCCACTTCTCTGTTTTGTGATCTTTGAGTGATTCACTGACTCCACTTTTCTGTTTTGTGATCTTTGAGTGATTCACTGACTCCACTTTTCTGTTTTGTGATCTTTGAGTGATTCACTGACTCCACTTTTCTGTTTTGTGATCTTTGAGTGATTCACTGACTCCACTTTTCTGTTTTGTGATCTTTGAGTGATTCACTGACTCCACTTCTCTGTTTTGTGATCTTTGAGTGATTCACTGACTCCACTTCTCTGGTTTGTAATCTTTCGGATTTTCCCTCTGTTCTGTGAGTTATATTTCGTATACTTGTACACAGTGGCGTATCTTGACCCGAATGTGTGCTCCCTTAACATATTATACACTGACCATATGTGCATAATGTTATATAAAACCCAAATGTGTCATCCTGCTGGACGCCCCCCCCCCCCCTTTTTCGAACCCCATAGGTAAGCCTCTTATAACACGTTACCAACAAAAAATATATTTTTTAATTAAAAAAAAAACATGACCTACATTGGGGTGAGCTCCCAGGTTTCATATTAAATTGCGCATCTTAAAAAAAAAAAAAATTTTAAATTATAATGTCATTGAGCACAGATTGCTACCCACTCTATTATAATGTCATTGAGCACAGATTGCTACCCACTCTATTATAATAGTATTTTATCCCCACGCCTGCCCTAAATACCGCAAAGCTGAATATCGATTTCACATCATAATTGCAGACATGGCCGTGCGAAGGAAAAAAAACAACAAAACAACCTTTCATGGGGCGAAGCCTGAAAGTGGAGCCATCCATATCATAAAGGATATATGATATAGGCCTATATATATTATATATAGGAATATATGACGATTTTGACGCGTCCCTAATTCGGCGCCCTGGGCGGCTGCCTCTTTGACCCCCACCCCCATTTCTCACAGCCCGGATAATATGATCAGCAGTTGTTAAAGGTGGTCTTACTATTCTGTGATATTTTTAGTCCGCGAGAAGAGGGTAGTAAATAAAAGCTGACTTGATCCCCGTAAATAGGAATAATAATGCACACGTCAGTTTAAAACTCTAACACCTGCTAATCATGTGTATCTTAAAACATTGTGTACAGTACAGTACCGGTCACAGGTCAGGTAGGGTGGTCTTTAAAAATAAATCAATCATGAAGCCGGTGCAATATAGTTCGTGTTCTCTATTTCTCACTGATAGCGAAATTGCTATTCTAAATTCTACCCAAAAATTTATTATTTATGTAAACTTAGTTGAAAAAATTGTGTAAACGTTTTCTACCTGCCACACGGCCAGGTATTTTATTTGGGACCATAACTATATAGACCTAAATAGTGTATACTGGTGGCTAACGCAAAGGTAATAAGCCTACTCATAACCAATCAAATCGCATCTACAAAAATGGAGGGGTCATTTAGTACCAAAAAATGGCGACTACGTACACGGTACTCGCACAGGAACGTACCTAACATAAAAATTAATTAATGTGGTTTATCGCTGTTATGGAAAATATGAGTTAAATTTGTGTTTTTTAAAAAAGAACAGGATACCGCTTTTGAAAGGCTTTTTATCTTAAGTCATTAGAACTTTGTTGAGCATTTTTATTTATGTTCATTTAATCAACGAACCATGATAATAATGATAGTAACTTACCGATTTACCTGAGTCTGAGTGTTGATTTAATAAGTTAGTAAGGTTTAAAATAATCTGTTTGGTTAGAGAAAACAATACTTGGGCGTTTGTATTCTTGTAAGCAGTTTAAGAAAATATTAAAATAAATAAATATATATTATAGCCGCACTAAGTGTGAGCCAGTCTAGTTGTGGACACATTTCACACTAAAATCACACACTCAATTCTCAAATGAAGTTGGTCTGATTTCTTTCATTCAGTTGAAAAAGATACAAAAAATGGATTACACCTGAGCTTTAGGCCTACTTGTTCTCTGACGCTTGCCCTCAACAATCTATTGGTGAGCAACCCATTTATTATGTTTTAGTATGAGTATCAAAATCATTGAGTATGTGACATGTGAATGTGTCAGTAAATGATGAGTCAGTTGCCATGGCAAACTCAAACTGACCAAGTCACCCAGTTGTGATACACTTCGACTTCACACAGGATTGGAATATTTTGGAAGAGCTTTGATTTAATAAATCCCCCACAACCCATCAAGATCACTATATCAACCACTTGGATTTAGAGGTAGGCCTACTACAGACTTCAGACATCTTTTATATTATTTTAGTATATATAATATAATATAAACAGTTATATAGTTACACTGACAGTTAATATTCAAATTTATTAGCCTAACCTTTCTACTTTTTTCAAGTTTCATTTTGAAACTGAAGCATTGATTTTTTTTTTCATATGTTTTCATGTGTTGCTAATAGTTGATTAAACATGTTTGCATATCAGCTAGAAACAAGATAGCCATTCTCAACAGTTTTGTTCCTATATTATATTTTAGAAATGAACCAGCATCACCACATCATGCCATCAACATCTATGAGTAACTCAGAATTCTTCATGTGAGAGAGACAACTATGTCATTACATTGGAAAATGCACACAAGTTTCCCGTTTACACGGGTATTTGTGTTAGGAATCATTCTCTTCTTCCTAGGACTTGCTAGCATGGTTATCTCCATCATAGCTTTTGTGACACAATCATGGGGTCACTATGTTGGAACTGGTATGTGGGGCGGAGCAACAATACTAGCTTCAGGACTCACAGCTGTGTTTGTTTCCAGACTTAAATCGCTTACTAGCGTTAAAACATTTTGTATCAGCTCACTGATAGCCATGTTTACATCTCTTACAATGCTGATTCTTTCTGCTGGAGGACTGACACTAAGCAGTGGATTTTACAGCCGCATTGATGTATCAGAATATAACAAGAGAACATCAAATCTTATTCATGCTTCACTATTAGTTATTTCAGTATTTTGTCTTTCTGGGAATGTTTTGGCTCTGATAGTGTGTTGCAAATACATTTTCTTTGAGCATCATGAAAAGCCTAAGCATAGGCGGCGACATCGAAATGTTCCAGAAGGTGCAGTCAGAACTACTAGTACTTTAAGAGGCGGTGCACCAAACACAAGTAGTCAGAGATCCTCTAACAGCCGAATACCTCTGCATAATGAAGCAGCATCAAGAAGACATTCTGATAACACAGATATCAATAGAGTTCAAATAGAGTATCGCAGATCACATAGACGAACAGCATCTGATCAGCCACATCCTAATTCGCGTAGACAGCGGCATAGCCACCAAGAAGTGACTGGATGTAGCAATAACAACAACAATCTGCTTTCTGCCGGTGGAGCTAGGTACTATCCTCCTGACAGAAGAAATAATAGCCGAAGTTCAAGCCAAGCTAGAGAGATGCACTGCGAAAACAAAGAAACTGACAGGTTGAATATTGTTGCCCTCAGACAGGGTTCCTCAAGTAACAACAGACCATGTTCACATACCATGATGCAAGTAAGATTATCAAATAGTCCAGTTTTAGAGTTGCGCAAAATTCGCTTGCCAACTGATTTTGATGAAGAAGAATTACCACCGTATGAAGCTGTGGAATTGGTAGAACAAGCCGAGGATGTAGTAGGTTCAGGCTCAGACAGTGGAGATGAATCTGACACTGAAAACTCATCTAGCACAGATGCTCATAGCTATGATGCTGCTGATGTTGGTGGTGATGGAGTTGAGTCTGTTCCTATGGTTGAGTTTCAAAATGGGAATAGGGGTGACACTCATCACTCTCCAGAAAATAATTTAAGGCAGGCTTCTTCATCAAATATAGCATCTAATCAGCCAAATTGTTCGCACAGAGAAGTTGTAAGTGTACAAAAACAAGACAAGACATTCTACAGTTCTTCTGGCAATGGTCAATTCACAAGGGAAGAACAACAGCTGAGTGAAGGTGCTGGGGCTATGATAGTGAGAAAAGATTCTAACAGGACTAACAGACCGGTCCTAAGTTATATAAACACACAGTCGATAGATCATCTGGGAGAGTATGAACGCCTGTTGTCAGTGTCACCTGAAGTTTGTGCTATCACAGGAGAGAGCCCAGAAACTGTGGATGGTTCAGAAAGCCCAGACCGTCATGCTGTAGATGAGAACTTTTATGAGAATGGACCGTGCTATGAAAATATCAAATGTGCAGGAAAAGGAGAAAATGTCCCAAACATGAACCTACTATCACAGCCCTCCAGTTCCAACTTGACATCGACACAAGACAAGGAAACTAATAGAGAAACAACAGAATCTTTCAGGAAGATATCTGTTCAAGTGATTTCTCGCTCATCTCCAACCACCAACTCATCTCCACAGCCACCTCAAAGCAGTTTTGGCTCTATTCTGTCAGCTTTTAGACCTGTTGCTCCTTTAGTAAACCAACATAGCAATAGCTGTGGCACTGCTCAAAAGCAGCCTTCTCAACTATCGAAAATGGACAATTCCTCTCATAAGAATGTTACACCTAGAAATCACTGCAGCCCTTCCCCCATCACTTTTAGCAATGATTCTCAAGCTTTTGTTATGAAATCCGGTCAGTCTGTAAACTACAGAGATCAAGGAGCTATACCTAAATCTGGAAAGCACAGGGAATCTGTGCCTCCTAGTAAAGACAGATCAAACTTATCATGGAAAAATATACCACTTCCATTGTCCTACAACCACACTCAAAGTGCCTCAAATGAATCAGAAAAGAAATTACCATCAAAAACCATACCCTTTGCTGAGTCAAAACATGATGATTCGACATTATCTAATAAGTATATGTCTGCTCAAACTGAGGAGTCTTCCAAATTGTCACCCAGGGTTTACCCAACATCATCTCTCAAGCCATCAAGTTCTTCCTCTAAATCTACATCATTACCAGTCTCACTTGTAGCAGCATCATCAAAATGCAGTCAGAACAGTGCAGAAACATCAAGGCAGTCAAATAATACAAATCTAAAACAAAGTCAAGTTGCACCAACACCTGCTAAAGTAAATACGTCATCTAGAGAAGCTAGTACACAGGCTAGTAGCTCTTCATCTCGTTGGCACTCACACAGAATGGGAGGCAACCAGTCCTTGCTTCAATCGCGACGGGAAGAAATGCAGAACTCTCAACTCTCTCGTCGAGTTGTAGAAGCATCAGCAAGAATGACCAGACCATCCAGCATGCCTGCAGCAGGTGAAGCACGTAATGGCATAAATCATGGAGTTTCAGCAGATCGCCAGAGCAGAGTTGAAGCAGCATCTTTGTCTGCGGCCAACACCTCGGATTCTGGACACCCACTCTCCCTGAGATCTTACCTTGTAAACCACATGCAGCAACAATCTCAATCTTTGGCCCTGCGGCAAAACCACTTGCTGCAGCATTACCCTTTACAGCCCCAGCAGCCTCGCCTTGGTGTTCAGTTGCATCAGCGACGGCAGCAACAGCATCAACTACAGCAAAACATTGAATCTCAACAGCAACAGCAGCTTCAACAGCAGCAGCAGCAGCAACTTCAGCAGGGCAATCAACAAGCACAACAGCAGGCTAGGGATGGTAGACCCTTATTTTCTGTCTTGTTATAAGGTTGTTGTTTGGTTTTTTTATACCACCCCCCCCCCCCCCCCTTTTCACTTGCAGAAAGAATGTTTTCATTTTGTTATATGTTGTATTTAAAGCTAATCCCAGTTTGGGTCACGCAAATTGTGCCAAATTCCCCCCCCCCCTTAAAATTTCCGCATTGAAATTATTAATCGTGTAAATATATTTCTAGCCAAACAGCTACATTTATGTAGTGTTAAACCATAATATACTGTAGTAAATATACAAATCTAAAGGGCTGCATTTATTGATGTAAACCGAAGTACTTAATGAAGTAATCATGACAAATCAAGGGCTAATACACTATAACATTAAGTATTTTCTTTTCTTAATCCTGTATTTTTTTTTATGTAATGAATTTCATATGTATTTTTGTATGCTAATACATTTTTGTTTGCAATTAAATGTTTTCTTATAGTGTAACATTTTATTTCTAATCATCATCACCATTTACTGCATGATGATATTAATATATAAATCTTTAAAAATTAGAAATTTCTTGGAAATGGTAGTAAAATTATTGATAAACCCTTTTTAATAAGAATGGACTATGAATGTGACCGCTGACGAAACACAAAAAATCAGTACCAGGTGTGAAACATAGATAATTTCAATATATGAATAACTGTAAACAAAAAAAATTGTTTCTTGTTTGAAAGACTGGTCTGTGTGGGTTTTTTTTTTACTAAACCACTGATCAGATTTAACTGCTGCTCTAAGATCAGATTTTACTGAGTTAAATTATTACTTTCAGAGAAGTCACTTTGTAATTAGTCAGTTATAAAATGCATCTAAAATAAACTATTTTATGCTTACAAATTTTATTTCAGTCTATTTTAGTGATACTAAAACACTAGTGAATTGATGAGATTCCCTTTTTTCTACTATTACAATCAAAGCATAAATTATACTGATAAGTGCATAACTTGTGGTAGTTTTTCAATTCCATCTTTTTTTACTCTTAAAGAATGACACAATGCTGTTTCCAAATTACAATTCAGTAATACCTCAAATATCACAGCAGGGATTACATTGAGGTCAACCAAGGGTTTAGGACGCGAAGTAGTGAGGTATTACTTTATTTATTAAGTAGATGATAGGTCGACAGTGAAGCGTAGTACTAGTGGTACTTTTGAAATATTTAGACAGATGATATTCCATTGCAGCCTTTGAAATGTTTTTTGTAAAGTTTGAGAAATAATGTATAGCTGTTTTACTGTTTATCCCTACAATGCATATAAAATATAACATTTTTGTTTATTTATTGTGTCATCCTCATCACATTAGTAAAGTTAGTATTAAATAATATGCATGCATGTTCTATATTATCGAATGTCATTTAAAATAATAAAAAAATGGCTCTTTGTGCAAATGCTAATTTTTATAGATCAGATATTTTTATAAGGATCTTGAGCTAGATGATTTTACACATATAACATACTTAAATGATGTAGCTTAAATCTTATCACTCAGGTGACCAATCAAGTTCATATTTATTTTTAAAGAGTATGTCTATTTAAAAATATTTATCATTTTACTGTACTCAGCTAAGATGATTTTAAATTATTGAGCATTCTTTTTCAAACGAAATTTTCATGTTTTTAACAGTTGTAAATTGTGCTTAAGGAGTTTTCAGCTGCATTTAAAATGCAATGTAAAGATTCAAGTACAATGACATTTTTGTACCGGCAACACAAGATTTTGTAAAATTAAACTAAAAAAAAATAAATGGACTCTTTCTAAGGGAAGCAACCCTTTATCTCTGGCAGTTGAATATGATTTTATTGATTACCCGCCGTGTAATTATAAGTGTTATTTAATTCTAGTTATTGTTACTAAGTTGGTGAAAGTTTGAACTTGAATTATTTATTTACTGCCAATTTACAATAATTCTAGGGCCCTTTTTCTCTTATCATAGGGGTTAGGAACTTTAATGTCATTATTTCACCCCCCCCCCTCTATTTCAACCCCCCCCCTTAATAAATCCGCCCCCCCCCCCATCTTTCTTTTCTCCTTTTATTTTTTTTATTTGGGACGTTCTAATTAATGCTGAATCATTTCTTTATCATTATTTTAATGGAAATAGGTATCTACATCAGCCAGCGGTTGTCAACTTGTTTATATCTTATGACACATTAAAACGAATTATTTAAGTTCTGCAACACACCATTCAAGTTTTCAAAAACCGCAGGCTGTTGTGTTTTTTTTTTGTTTTTTTTTAAAGCAGTATTCAATAAATTATTTCTAAATATAAGTTTTAACCTCAATTTTTATTCATTTATACCAACATCTAGCAAGTTACTCATGTTTGATTTTATCATCATACATCTGTTAAAAACCGCTGATCTAGATTATTGTAAATAAGATCACTTGTGTGTCAAGTAGTATGTTCCTTATTGATCAACAGTTTGTTTTTCCAGTTTTTATACCTTACTATATCTGTAAATACTGTAACTTGTGTTCTAGCTGAATACTCCAGAAGCTTTTGTTTTTATTTATTTCTGTTGAAATTAAAATAAAATGCTGTTGCTAAAATGTATTTTTCTAATGCAACAAATTTGTACTTACAGCTATTTTTTAAACCTGTTGATCTATTTCTGTTATGTTGAATCTGACCAAAGGATATTAGAGACAATGCTAGTTATTGATGTGTGACATCCCAGAAGAGATGTACATGGCTTTAAGAAAAGTTGGCTCAATGGTACATCAATTTTTCTTTTGTCTCAGAACAATGTTCTCCCTTTGCTGTAGGATATTTTTTCTTCTGCTAAGTAACTATCACAAATTAAAATGTAATATATCATTTTAAATACTTTTTTGAAAGCGTCTCATTTTGAATTAAGAATAGTCAAGGAAATAAGTTAATGTATTTACATACCAGCACTGTCATGGTCATTAGTATGAAAATATTGTTTTTATTTGTTTAAAGTAAAACAGACAAATATTTTTGCTTGAACATGGAGGGAGATGTCAATAACTTTAATTTAATGATTTCCTCCCTTCATCCTTACCCTCCCTGCCATCTGTCTTCTTTCCAAATTGCCAGCCCTCAACCATGATCCTTCCATCCTCAAAACCCACATGTATACACCATCTACCACCACCCCCCACCCCAATAACCATACTTATTGTCCTCCTTTACCACTCCTATTATCTCCCCTTCACCACTCTACCATCTTTCCATCACAAAACCCACACACATCTGACTCTCACACCCTATCCACTTTCCAAACACCTCCCACTCACCCCAAAAGCCACCCACTCTTACCACTGCCACATTTCTATTTCTTTTCTTATATTTTATATACCTACAAACTATTTTTGTCCGTTAAGATCTTATTTTTCCCAGTTATAATACATAAATTCTTTTACCTCCTATAAGCTTGGTTTTGGAATATCCAACTGCCGACAATAACAATGGTGATCGTTTAAGTTTTTAACTAGTTTCTATTTCTTGTCGTATTTTCATTTGTCCTGTCTGCTGAGGAAGGCTCTTACCCGAAATGTTCCTGGATAAAATTCAAATAGCACAGAATAATGCGGCTCGCATACTTCTCCGCAAACGCAAATTCGACCATGCAAAAACACTTCTGAGAGAGTTGCATTGGCTGCCGGTGCGTGCTCGCATAGAGTACAAAATCGCAACTTTGTGCTACCGCTGCTTACATGGCCTGGTGCCGTCCTATCTGAAAGAGCTGCTGACGCCTTATGTACCCAGTAGAGAGCTCCGCTCATCCAATAGTGGCAAACTCTCGACACCACGTGTTTGCCTTGAGACTTACGGAAAGCGCACTTTCGCATTTGCTGGTCCAACAATTTGGAACGCCCTTCCTGTCGATCTTAGAAACAACCAGACACTGGAGTCCTTTAAAACCGATCTAAAGACACATCTATTTCGCGAATACCTTCTGGGATGATTGTCTACCTTATTTTCCATGTGTTGCTGTGTTGGTCCGGGTTGAAATGGCTAGAAAGACTTTGATATTGTATGCTTGTAATTAGTTTTTGTAGTGTTGCGTTTGTTTTAAATGTGGTGAATTATAGAAATGTTTTTTGTTGACTTTGTACCGCGCTTCGAGCCTTTGGGGATGAAGCGTGTTTTTGAAATGAACTTTATTATTATTATTATTATTGTCCTGTCTTTCGATTCAAGCTTCCACATAACTTGTTCTGCTATTTCCTTCACATAGCTTGAACGAAGTCCTTCATTTATTATCTGCTATTCTGCAGATCTCCAATTATTCCCACTATCACTCCAATTACTCCCGGCATCTCTCAAAATTCTCCTACACTACCCCTCCTACTCACACTGGACTTAATTTTAGAACCAATGCTCTTACTCTTAATGTGTATAATGATTAATATTACTTCCATTTAGTCTAGGCTTTAGCACAATTAAAAATTAAAAATAATAGATTTGAACGTATGGAAAGAAGATTTATAAAGAGCTTCATTATTTTTGTTCTGTAAATTAAATATTTTTATTGTATAATTTTATCTGGATGGCACAGGAAATAATTGTTTATAGTTCCATTGCAGAAAATTGTTAGGTTGTGCACTTGGGCCCTGTACAATCAAAATGGAAATATTATTCTTTAAATTTAGT